GGTCGTGAACTTGGTCGTGAACGACTCCCTAAAAATGGCAAAAAGGGCAAAAAGACGATTCCAGGCTGTTCTCGACCAGAATCGAACCCGCGATCTCGACCTGATCATTTTTGGAGACCAACGTGCTAACCGCTGGACCACGTCAACATGTTATCTTCGTGTTTTTATGATGATTCAGGATAAGAACTTATTTATAGAACAGTCTTCGTGAACTCGGTCACGAAGGAGTTCGTGAACTCGGTCACGAAGGATCACTGCAATTCTTCGAAAGTTCACGACCACTGGTCGTGAACCAGTTCACTAGTTCACGTTCACGGTCACGAAGCATCCACGTGGTGAACGACCGGTCACGGTCACGGTCACCAGGTTACGAGCCTGGTGAACTTTGGTCACGGTCACGGTCGTCAAGTTGATTTTCGTGAACGTCAAAGCCTGTAGAATTGACTTCCGCAAAGCGTCTCAGAATTGACTTAGGAAAGGGTCTCAGGGCTGGAAGCGTTTATCATGAGGTCGAATACATGGCGGCTGTGCTGGCATCATTAACGGTTTAACGCTAGACCTAAGCCTGTGAGGGCCGGGTCCAGGACGAGCCCGCGTCGGGCCATTAGATCGACTGCATCCGGGGTGAGCTCTATCAGTAATGCAACCAAAAAAAAAAGGATTTTGTACTAGAATTGACTTAGGAAAGGGTCTCAGCATTGACTTAGGAAAGGGTCTCAGGGCTGGAAGCGTTTCTAACGATGTCGCTCGCGCGCGCAGCCGCTGACTGGGAAGTTGGAAAAGAAAGGCGAGGGGGACTCAACCATGAACCTTCTCGAGGATCCGATCTTCTACGTCCTCCTCACAATCTCGGTGCGTTCTTATCGCAATTAAAGGATTTGATGGCGTCGCTTGATAGAACCTGTTTCGCAGGGTGTCCATCCAAAAGATGTTTGGTACAAATCCCGGTATGTAAGCGCTAAAAGTACGAAATAGCACCGACGCCATGCCAAATCTGAGATACAATCTGTTAGGTTCCGGAATCTTCTGGAGGTCCCGATCTTCTACGTCATCCTCACCATCGCGGCAAGTGAACGCACGCCAGCATTTGCATCGCCCAACATCTGGGGATTCAGCCCCGTGCTGCCTTCTGTCTCAAACGCTTATTTGAGTTTACGAGTTTGCTCCCCCCGGGCTGTTGTCCGCTCCAAAGTTGACGGATCTGTACCGCACACCCGGGCTGCCAGCTTGAGAATAGTCTGGGAAGTTGGAGAAAAGGGGGTTCTCGACCATGAACCTGCTTAATGATTTTTTTTTTCACGCCCTGCTCATCATCGCGGTGCGTTTATTCCAAGGCGGCTAGCTCTGGACTAGCTCTGGATTTTGCCCGACTAGATCTGGAAAACTAGCTCTGGATTCTGCGAGGCCCCCGAATATTAAAGCCTCTGAATTTACCATTGTGCTAGAACGAGTTATTTTACGAACCTGATTTCATTCCCAATCGACTGTTAAAGTGCGGCATCGTACGGACAAGGCCGAGGAGGTAGCCCCTCAACCCTCAACCATCAGCCCTTCTCTGTATTACTCTCGAGCCTTAGTTAAGTTGAATGAACCCAACCCTAAAACCTGGCGGTTAACTTTTAAACTAGGGAGCTTTGACATGAAAATTTGAGTTTTGAAGTGGAGCGTGCGGCAGGTGCCGCCGGCTATCATGTTCACTATTGGGGAACCTCGCTCATAAGAAATCGCCTCCCCCTAGGACCCCACAGCAGGCCCATGCCTGGGGTCCTATGGTGGCCCTAGGGGGAGGGGCACTTCTTATGAGCGAGGTACCCCTGCACAACACCCTCATCATTTGCAGCCCCCCACACATCATTTCCAGCCCCAACCCCAGGTGCTGACGGCCATCATGTTCGGAGCGGAAATCCCTAGGGACCTAGGAATTTTTGATGGGGGATTGGACGTGAAGTCGAGAGATTCCTCCGATTTGGGTGGAAATTACTGCAGGTGGAACCCCCGATTTGAGCCGCTACGGGTTTGGTGGTGGCGCGGCAACGCAGCAACGCTTAGCGGCTCAAATCGCCCCCACCGGCAGGTGCCAACGGCGATCATGTTCGGAGCGGCGTACGCGTGCTTGGTCCCCGCGCTCTCCCTCGCTCTCGGCTTTCAATGCGCTTTCTAGGCTTTGGGGGTTTGTTCCCGGTGTGAGGACCGGGTCCTGGACGGGCCCGCCTCAGGGGAAAAGAGTTCCAAGGTTGGGGCATTGAATCGACCGTAATCTGAGTAAGGCCCTATAGGTAGTGTAATCCTTGCACAGGAATAAAGATATCACAGATTGGAACCTCGGGCATGGTTTCTCACCAGGGGGAGGACGACCTCTGGTGAAGACACAGCCTCGGTGGGATCGCATACACGGCGGCTGTGTTGGTATTGATCAAGGTCAGTCGCGGGTGTGCTTCAGTACAAGGCTCTCTCGAGCACGCGCGTGCGTACATGCAAGCCTACTGTAGGGTCCGCGGGGGGGTCGCCTCCTCATGAGCGAGGTAACCCTGCATCCGCCAGTTTGTGGCTCCCGCGCTCAGAGTTCGAGAAGAAAGCCACTTTATTGAAACGAGCGTGAAAACACGACAGCGTTAAGCTTCCCAGAGGGCACGCGAGGTGCATGGGCTGTGCGGGCCCCGCAGGGATGTCAGCTGGCGACGTGCATCACCCCCTCTCGCACACCCTGTCAAACCCTCTCGCCCACCCTCTCACACCCTCTCGCACACCCTCTCACACTTGGCCGATAACCCCGAGGGGTTCAGAAAAGAGGGAACACCACCTCGTCGTGGATCAGAAGGACGCTTCATCGAACAAGTCGTCTTTGGAGGGAGGGGGGGGGGGGG